TTTCCGCGACCATTATAACGGCCATTGGTTCAACCTCTGCCTGTACCACCACGAATACCACTACCATTGCCACTGCCACTGCCGCGAATCCACGACCACTATCATCACCAACACGGGTCGCTACACGTCGGGTCCTGGAAGTCCGGCGCATTCCACGGTACTGGTAATTATGTCATCCTGTCCAAGAGATTCGCTAGCGTGACTTGTTCAACGAGGGGTCCCTGGAGTGGGCCCGAAGTCCGAAAACCTTCAATGGGCCCGGTGTTTCGTCGTAAATGTTTGACGGTCCCCGGCCCCGTTTCGGGCCTCAGGAAGCGAAGAGTGGTCCGGAAACTTCGGGAGCGGGAAGAGTACCCGAGGGCGTCTGGTCAGGGGGCTGTTGGGGGGCCTCTAGGGAGCTTCTTGGAAGTTTTTGGGGGGTTCTTGGGGGTGTTTGGGGGGGCTCTTGGGGCCTCCTTGGAACCTCTGGGGGCGGAGGGCTTGAAATGTTAGTAGGGCTTCCTCTCTGGGCCCCTGCTTGGGGCCGTCCTGGGTCCCTCCTGGGCCGTCATGGGGACCTCTTGGGCTAGCCAGGGGCCCTTTCGGGTTGTCTTGGAACCCTTGTGGGCTGTCTTGGGGCGATCCTGGCGGCCTCTCGGGCCGTCTTCGTTCCCCTGGAAGGTCAAGAGGCGAATCCTTGAAAAATGCACGTTTTTTGAAGGGAACGGAGACATTTTTGCCTCTTGGGGCCTTCTTGGGAGGGCTCTTGGACTCTTGGGGCCCTCTTGGGCTGTCTCGGGGGCTCCCGTGAGCCCTCTGGAAGCCATCGTCAGCGTCTTCAAGCTACATTTCGAAGCTTGTGCGCCCTCTTGATCTGTTTGGCGACCTCCGGCGCTCTCGGGAGCCGTCCCGGGGGCGCACAAGAGGCCCCGGTACCCCCATGCGCCGTCGAGGTCGCGGTCCCGGGCCCCCGGTCCTCGCCCCCCGGGATATATATATATATATATATATATATATATATATATATACACACACACACGCACACACAAGTGGCACGTGTGTGCCCATGCTCATACAAAAAAATCTGAAAGGGCGTTTGAAGCAGGAAGACACCATGACTGCAGGATCGGAGATGGAGAAGGGGAAGCTGGGGCGGCGCCGCCAGGGCGTGCCGAAGAGAAGGGGAAGAGGCAGGAGGTGAACGCAGAAGAATCTAACACCGAGTTCGCACTCGAGCGCAAGTGGGGTTGCCACACCTTTCGATGTGTGTACCAGGGCCCCCCAGGAAACCTCAGGAGGCCCGACTTGGATACCGGAAGAGGCTCCAGGAGGCCCCGGGATTGTGAGTGTTGTGTGTGTGTGCGTGTGTGTGTATGTGTGAATGTGTGTGTGTGTGTGTGTGTGTGTGATGTGTGCTCTGTGTTGTGCGTGTTTTCTGTGCGTTGTAGGTGTTGTGTGTGTTATGTTTGTCTAGCGTGTAGTGTGTTGGGTGTGATTAGTGTCTCTGTGTGTGGATGTAGTTCTGAGGCCCCAGGAGGTTCTAGGAGGCCCCAGGCGGCCTCGGGAGGCCCCAGAAGACCCCAGGAGTCTCCAGGAGACCCCAAGAGGCTCCAGGAGGCCGCAGGAGGCCCCAGGAGGTTCCAGGAGACCCTCAGGAGACTCCGAGGCGGGGTCTGGGGTACCAGACGGCACAGAAAGCCCCAGGAGGCCCCAGGAGGTTCCAGGAGGTTCCCAAGAGGTTCCGAGGCAGGGTCTGGGGTACCAGTAGGTACGTCGGGGCTCGATCTTGGGAGGATGTCTCGGGCGAAATCGCCATTCTCTGAGAATCGGGGTCAAAATCATTGAAATTACAATGTGTTTTTGAAGGTTTTATGTTAGAATGTTGAAATTCCTATGTGTTTTTGGACCGTAACGTCACGATCTGCGTGAGAGGTGCCACCGATTTTCAGAATTTCGAGGACGTCCCGAGCGAAACGGCCAGAACAATCGCGGACGCGGCGCCCCGCGTACGCATGAATCGCCTCTGAGCTTTACTCTCTCGGAGAGGTGCGTATATATATATATATATATATATATATATATATATAATATTATTATATATATATGTGTGTGTGTGCGAACTCCGAGGGAGGCACTATGATTGAAACAGTGCCATGGTTACCGGAGGGTGAGACCAACAATGCGGATTTTTTTGACATGTGACTTCAACAGGCAGTTTAGGACTGTTCGCTCTCATTTGCTCGCGTGCCATTTCAATACGTATATCCCAGGCCATCGATGCCCGCCCTCTTCGCATTCGATCGTGCCCCCTTGGGGGGATATCTTCCTTACCTGCAGCGCGTATTTCGCACAATCCTTGTAGCAGGGGGAGAAAGTACGGATGGAAGGAAGGGGCGCGGGGGAAGGAGGAGGATGGCACACGAAAGGGAATAGCAGGAGAGGGGCCACGAGCAGAAACCACGCGGCATATCCAGACGGGCAGATCGGGCGGGCAGACCCTACCAGGCGG